CGATCTCGATGTGGACGATTGCCCGATCAAACCTGAAGTCCAGTACCAACCTCGCCTGCGCGTGGATCAAAAAGATGTCTTGGGCTTGGCGCACAGATTGAATGTGAAAACCAGCGGTCCAGGCAGAACCAGTTCCAGCACCAAGCGTTCGGCTGAGTTCGTGAAGCAATATGCTACGAAATATGAGGAACTGCAGCAGCCACGCTCTTGTCTGCGCGGGCGTGAAATCGATTCGAAGACGTCTACCACCCAAGAAGTGTTGAGTGGCCTGCAACAGCAAAAAGCACTCCAGGAGTCTCGCAAGGATGCGGAACTGGGTCAAGCACATGACACAGACGATGAATGCGTTGACATCTCTACACGAGACGTTGAGGCCGGCTTGGCCCCTGTGGCAGCGGTGTTGACTTTGTCTCCGGCTGAGAAAGCTTTGCAGCTGGTGCAGCAGAAGCTACCTGTGCTTCAGTCCACCCACCAAGACGGAGCAGAGTATGCAATCTCTCCAGATCAGTACAATGCTGTGATCCTCGCCATCGCGCCCTTGCAGCGCCTGTGGAACAAAGCCAACGAAGCTGGACTGGCTCACTGCTTCGGAGATCGCACTCGACTTGACCCGTTGTTGGCTTTGGTTGAGAAGGATTATGGAGTCCAAAATTTCGCGTGCCCACGCGCTTCCATCGGCGGAACTAAATGTCTAATTAATGACATAAACATAGCTTGTAGCAAGGATATATGATTTTTGTATTTTACATAGAGAATGTACGACTTCATTTGCGCAATGATCACACCCCGTTGGCGAAATATAGATTTTGGATTAGGTTGTTGCGTGTTCCTTTTGCTCGTGAGCCCACGTAGGACATGGTGGCGCGTATTTTTGTACATGGACCTGGAGGGAGCGGCAAAACTTTCATGCTGAAAGAAGTCATCCTCCCGGTCTACAACGAGTTTCTACCTGGGACCACCCGAGGGGTCGCTGCCCAAAACTCTGCCGCCCGACTCATAGGAGGAAGCACGTTCCACCATATGGCTGGTCTCACACGGGCGCAAGAGCTGTTGCTGCAAAAGCCCTCTAAGACCAAGAAGGAGGCTTTGCAGCGTAAGTGGTGGCGGCTTTCGCTGGTGTTTGTTGATGAGATTAGCTTGACTGCACCGAATTTGTTGGCAGTGCTACACGGATCGGCCTGCTATGGTCGTTTCGACCTTTCTCCGGAGGATTTTCTGAGCAACATTTTCGGCAATGTCTTGTGTCAGATTTTGGCTGGTGACTTCTTGCAGTTGAACCCCGTGCGAGCCAGATCCCTCATGGAAGCCTTCGGCATTGAAGTGCCGGGGGCGCCGCGATACGAGAAGATGGACGACCAACAGCGCAGGAAGAAAGTCGACATCGATGAACATGGACTTGCAGTCTTTCGCGCCTTTCTGAAACAGGTCATCTTGTTCAGAGGCTCTCACCGCTTTCGGAAAGGAGATCCGTTGGCCGAGCTCATGGAGACGATGCGAGTGGTCGGGGGTCGTCCCTTGTCTACGGCTCTGAAGGAGGCCATTCGCAAGCAGGTGTATCGCCCGCTGGGAGGCGATCCTCGTCTGAGCAGCGATTACACCATGGCTTCAGGCTCCACTGCGCCCACCGGGCCTCCAGGTTTCTTCGCGCGCGGTGTCTTCAGCGCAGTGAACTGGGACCAGGTGGCTCGTCTCCAGCAGTTGTGCGCATACGAGTCTGCTCGCGCGAGCTTTGGTGTTGCAGCTTTCCGCAACACCCAGACTGGACGTCCCCAGCTGATTCGTCGACACTTTCCGACGTATCTTTCGAGGTCCTTTCAGTCTCGCTTCGGAGCGGTCTTCGCCAAGCAGGAATCCTTCTTGACGTCGTTGCTACATGACAAAGGTCGTCTGCTCTACTACGTTCAAGCAGTGGATTTGGTGCATCAAAGTGAGTTCACCAACGATAAATCCATTCTGCGCGAGATTCTGGGCTTGACCAACATGGCAAGTAAAACTGGCAACCTCATGTCGTTTCTACCGCTGCACTTGGGCTTGAAGGTGAAGGTGACGAAGAAACTCTTGCCACCAGAAATCGTGCAAGAGTGTCCGGCCGAGGTGATCGCCATTCAATTTCATCCCAACGAACGCTTTGGCGTGCCTGGCGCGCCCGCCGGTGGTGGAGTCCCCGCGGGATCGCATCTGTGCTGGGAGACTGGATATGTTCGCCTGGACTATCTCCCTGCCTCGATTACCTTGCGTATTGAGGCCTGGGCCTGCAACTAAATATAGTCTGATATACGCGGATGTGACTGAAGACAAGTGTCCTGCATAGTTTGTGAACATCGGTTTTTAGACAGTTTAATCTAACCTTCTGTAGGACCCATGTATCTCTGAGTCACACCTGACTTGCAACAGGATCAGCAAGAAGATTATACTGGACAGCTTCTGCCTGGAGTGTGGCATTTAGAACCGAGTGAAGATTCTTTCCGCGTGCAATTGCGTCGCAAAGGAGCCTTGATGTTGGATGTTACTCGGATACAGTATCCTCTTGCTCCGCTGGCTGCTGGAACCTACAACAATGCCCAAGGCAAGACCATCAAAGGAGTTGGGCACACGATTGATTTTTCGAAACCAGATTATTTTTCGGCAGACGATTATACGCAGCACTTGTACATGATTCTTGGACGCGCTCAAGCTCTCGAGTATTCCTTATTTCGCAATTTACCGGAGACGCCAGAAGGCGATATTGATTTTTCAATCTTTGAGACTGGTCCACCTGCGTATATTGCCGAGTTTTTGGATCGACTGGAGGACTCTGATGTGCTTGTTGGCTTGTTTAATGTGCTATGTTGGATATCCACGGACTGATTCACACTGCTCGAGTGATCACATATGAAATAGCCACGAGTCATACCATCCGCAACCGCGCGTGTGTCGATCTTGTATCATTGTTTGCAGGAGGTTGCGCTTTTGTCTCGCTCCGCAATCGAAGAAGCTCGCAGACATCTGCCTGGTTTTCCAGCCGCGGAACACCTACCGCGACCGACCCGCAGAACACCAGAGGGTCGCTTTCAGTACGTCCCAGGGGCTTGGACGGCGGCTACGAGGGCGAGTGTAGTGACTGAGTTCAGGGGAACCAAAAGGAAGTACGACCCCACCAAGTGGCGTCAGCTGCGAACGGATTTCTGCGACATCTGGTCTCTTGCGCTGGAAGAGGTGGCCGCTCCCACGGCACAATTTTTCCGAGAACACGGGGCTCTGCGTGTCTTTGCCGCCGAAGCTGGTGGAGGCGGCGATTGCTTCTTCTTGTCCACTGCGGTCGTCCTGATGCAGGCGCGAGCAGTCCACCCACGACTCTTGAATCTTTTCACTTCCGATGAGGTGGCTGACTGGGACGACCGAACTACGGTTGCGGCTGCTCTCCGCAAGATTGTCGGGCAACACATGCGCGCCAAGACGCCAAAAGCATTCTTGAACTTCGTCGTCGGGTGTTTGGTGCGCGAAGCTGCGAGGACATGGCTGGACGACTGGTCCATGATCGCACTCTTGCGTGGCTCTCCTTTTGCTTTCTTGAAAGACGCCAACGATGTCCTCGGAGCAGAAGTTGTAGACGACGCCATGCTAGTTCGCTACAAAGCGGGCGACAGCTCCGTGACGAGGAGCAAGAGAGTGCGTTCTGGCACTGCGGCCCTGGTGTCTTTGCAGGATGCCGTGAGCACTGCTCTCGAAGCTTGTGGGAATACTCATTGGGCAACGGACGTCGACTTTGTTGCGTTGGCCACGGAGCTCAATCTTGGCTTCATCATTGCTGGAAATACTTGGACCCAGACGTCTGTTGTTCGAGGCTCCGGTGACACATCTAACAAACGCGTGTGCGATAAATCCATACGAATGTTGGACTAATGACATAACCTATAGGATAGTTTTCTTCACTTCCGTTGTGTGTGTCTCATATACTTCTTGTCGACGCAGGCGAACCACAACAACGCACGGTCTTACACTCCTATTTACAAGAAGATCAGACGCCGCAGTTGTGGATTTCTCTGTATTATGTGGACGGTTATCATTTTCAAGTGCTTATTTTCGAGATTTTGGGACAATGCCATTGTTTCTTTCGTGCCGCGGATCTGCCAGAACCTTTACGCCAGTGCTTGATTTGAATGCAAAACAAAGACCCTTCATGATGAAGACGGAGCTTGGTGGTGAAGTCCCCAGCGCATGCTGCCTTGGTGGTGGAGTCCCCAGCGCATGATGTCCAACAGCGTGCCAGAGAGTGAAAAAGAGATTCTGACCGGCTGTGTCTCTTTTTATACGCAGTGGTTTGACGTATGTGTTTGCATTCGGGTTCGTGGGCTCCATCTTGTTTTTTCGACTTCTGATTGAATTTGATTGAATTAGGATGGTTCAATGGGCCTTGCACTGTTTAGGTTGTTTGGTTGCTGCAGGAGGCCTCGTGGAATGTGCTGCTGCACTTAGGGTGGGAAAAGCGATTTGATATTGGAAACGGGATTTCAGGGCCACACATTTGGTCGCACTCACTCTGGAGTTTGCTCATTCGCAAGCTATCGTCATTCTCAAGAGTAGGGCGGTCGAGTAGGTAGGATCTTCTACAGTGGATTGAGAGTAGATGGCACAACCCCCAAGATGTCTTTTATATAGGGGTCCATATGCACCACCTTTTGGGGATTGCGCCATCTACTCTCAACCATAGAAGTTCGGGTGACAGCTCCTTCAACGGTCCCCACCAGGTAAGACGCACGGTTTCGCAAATTTTCGGCCTCGACGCACGAGGCCTCATTTGAGGTGATTGGATCTTCCCTACCGAACAGTGAATCGCCTGCCCAAGCTTCGTTTGGCAAATGGGTCTTCCACACTTTTCACCAGCAAACGGATCCGAAAGAAAGCAGACACAGGTCTCAGGTGGGCGAGTCCAGTTCATCTTTCTGTTGGGATCCGAATTTTCGGCTTGTGCTTCGTCGGTCCAACGAGCGCTGAATGCTCCCTCGCCGCTGAAATCGAAGGCTGGTTTGCAAGATCGAGTCGTGCAGGCCGAGTCCGGCGTTGGAGGTTTCGTTGGGGGTGGTATATATATATATATATTTAAGTAATTAGACCCACAAAGAGATAGGAAAAGTCACATCCCTTTCAACATGTTAAAAAGCTGGACACCGTGCCACTATCTATTTGGGGACCACAAAAACAGGTTTAGTTAGGCATGCAGCAAGACATGACCGAATCCAATAGGTTTCGGGGAAGCGCCATGAGTGTCGTGCCGCCATGAACCGGTCTGGGACTGAAGATCCAGGTGTTGAAGCGCAGGAGGGGAAGACATGGGGCGCAGCCATTGGTTCAGACCCCGCGGTGGGGAGGGGATGGGGAGAAGCCCGACAAGCACGCCCCACCAACGACGATGGAGAGAAGCCCGGTGCTGGCAGAACCAGAGAAAAGCTACAGCAACTCACCAGCACCAGCCAGTTTGGGTGGTGGTCAGGGAGTCCAAACCCGCCCAAACTGGGTGGTGCTGGCAGAGGGACCTTGTTGGAGTGTCACCTTGCAGACGCCCCGGGAAACGTCCCCCAGAAGAAGGGCGTCGGCATCTCCTGGCACCTGATCACGGAGGGAGGGAAGCGGACGCAGCGCGTGGACTCGCGTGTCATGCAGGGCATAGAGCGAAGCATAGACATCAGTGCCCGGCAGTTGGCTGATCTGGCAAAAAGCGAAGTGCTGCTTGTGGGATTTTACTGCCCGTAAGCCTGAAGTTCATTCACTGTGTATGGAGGAAAACTGTAGGTTCAAGTTCTATTTTGATCCGCTAGCAAGTAGTAACCGGTCCTGCCGCTGCACCAGGTCTATCAAGGTCTAGTCTTTATGGATTTTGATGCCGAGCACATGAAGGAGACGGAGCACATGGGGCAAAGGGAATTAAGTCCAGCAGTTGCTGGAGCATATCTCCGACGCAAATGGTGAGGCAGCTGTACGTGGAGTATGTGTTGATCTAACCAATCGATCTAAGCCTAGCAATATCTACAATGTAGCAAGTTCCTCTAGCCGTCCAGGACGCCGATCTCGCTTCGTCGCTTTTCTTGTCTCCGCCTGATCGCTCAATGTTGGTGTGGGCGTGTATTGAAATGGTCAGACCTCCCAGTTCGACCCCCTGGAAGAAGGAAAATAGACCAACACCCATTGGTTGGTTTTGTGTCTACCTTACGCAATTGCCGAGGCCATGGCATCCGACGCTTACGCGCGAAACGACAAAGACCCAAAAAACACCCATTGGTTGGTGGTCTCCCTCTTCAAACACTCGTGTCAGCCCCACAAGGGCAGGTCTTTTCGGGGATGGCGACCCTGAATGGCAGTGAATGGCGACCCTTTGGTCCAGTCGAAGGAGCTTTCGGGTCAACAAGCAATGCGGCATATAGGTAGGCTGTGTCCTAGGAAGCCCGTAACAGTCGCTTTTCCCCATTGATGTATCACTATTTGTGGGAAAGGCCTTTACTAACCATGGGACAAACCGCCCAACATCGCCTACAAAGCTCTTGCCTCTTTTTCCAGCTTGGCTTATATATGCCTGAAAACAAGCTACTGATGCACCAACGCTAGGAGAACGGCTACGGCAGGCGCGACCATGGCTGCTGGAAAGGAAGTGGAGGATGACCAATCTGTGTTGGAAGCCTGCCCTTGGCAGACTGATGGTCCAGTATGATTGCTTACTTACATGTATGTACCCTCATAGCATACAAAGGGTTGATTCAAACATGCACCTTTACTAAGTGGCTCCCTCACCCACACCTTTTCGACCAGGTGAAGCAACATGCAGAGGGTTTCAACATCACCAAACTTGATGCAATTGATGAGTTTCATGGGTGATGATCGAACTCTTAGAACATGTGTTAACAGCGGGGCCCAACCATATATCGGCCTTGCTTTTGCGGATCCCTTGAATTCTCAAAACCACGAACTTCCGGAGAATCCATGACGTGATCGTGCTGAACACCCGTCCTGAGTCGTTCTGAGGCGAAGTCACGTTGCTGTGGTTTCAATCTGGAGGACCCATGAAGAGCAAAACTGGAACAAGCACTCAAACATCCACTGGAAACCACCTATACAGGATCCTACAGTGGTTCGCCAAGGCACAACCTGATCGCAACCTGGTTCTACTGACTCCGAGCCTCCCATCACCAGGGCGGAATGAGCGCTTCGCCCGGGCGCCTTCGGGGGGCTGCGCGAGGTATGAGCGCCTTTCTCGAAGCTCCTTCGAGTGGCTCAGCTCGCTGCCCTTCTTCATCGCCTTCGAGGTGCGGGTGCGATGCTGTGCGCGAGCGAGCGTCGCGTTCGGGGTGCGTCCGATCGCTCCGTTCGTCGTACAGCCAGGAGCCCCGATCGTAGCTTGTTGCTCCCAGGAGCCCCTAGTAGCGTGGGGTCCGCGCAGCCGGAAGTGAGGCCAAAACACGGAAGAGAAGGGAGAAAGAGAAGACGTGCTAAGGGTTGCATTTCGCGCGTGAACCAAGCACATGGTAGAGAGGAAACCACCACAGAAAAGGTCGGAAAGAACTCTGTTCCAAGTTGGGGCTTCTGCTACAAACTGCATTTCTGGAAACACTGTGCGATAGCGTTTTGGCACCTCGGGAAGGATCAGCGCCTTTTCTTCTGGTTTCCAGGCAAGTGGAACAGGTTGAAATGCAGGATTAGACAGATTGGGGGCCATAATGTTCGCAGGATTGGTGGTTTTCAGTGATTAGGCATGGGTTGCCTACAACGATGCAGCGGTTTAAGGCCCTTTTCCTTCCCACTACTACACTGAGCTAGTGGTAGCCATTCAACCTGGGTGTATCCGCATGTGGCGCAGTTTCTAGAGATGGAGCGGGTGCTCGATCCTCTGAGCACCCGGGGGTTTCTCTGTCCAAGCGCCTGCATGCTTTGACAACACCAAGTTTGACTTCCTTTCATGCGAAGCTTGCAGGAACACCCATGCAAAACTGGATTTGACATGATCTCTCATGGGATTAGACACATTTGATCGCCTGTTTCGTTCTATCCTTCCCAGGCGTCCACTGCCAAACAACCGCGATTTCGCCCGTTCGTTTTTTCAGGCGGACCCCAGCGACTCGGGTAAGGCGCGAACGCGAACGCGACCGCGAACGCGACCGCGAACGCGAACACCGCCACGTCAGGAGCAGGACGTGATTCGGAACGGGGGTGCTTTTCTTTCCTTCGCTTCAAAAAGTGCCCCAAAAGTCTACTCGGTTTGGGAAGCATTGGCTGCATCTGCTGCACGACATTTGCTAAAAAGCATCTAAACGGCATATATGTTTGGGGCCCTGGGGCTTGGGGCTTTCAAGCGTGGCACGTGTTTGCTTGCATTGGATTGTACAATGTCCTGGAGAGTATGTCCTGAAACATTTCATGTTCTTCTTGCATGGGCAAAGAAGCTGTTAGGTGCCTTGTCCTGCAGCAGTGGATTCTTATTTCTGAAAAAGATAGTATGCAATCTGGCACGTGCCAGCCAGACATGCAACGAAGGCGGCTTCCGCCATGGGACAGTGGATCACCAGAGACACTCTGGGCCAGAGGGGCCAGAGGTTTCCTTGCTTTGCCCACACAGCTTCTAAAAATGCCTCAACAGGAGCAGGACGAACGGCTTCTCACTTACACAAGAGGAGGCTTCTCACCACCACAAAGCATGCTACCCCACGCGAATCCACAAGAAAGGCAGCCACAGATTCAAGAAAGGCAGCCGTTTCACCCCTTGTCACCGTTTCTTCGCCTCACAGCTTCGCTTAAGTGCCGTGCCCCTTTAAGGTGTCAGGTTCGCTTGTTGGACCCGATCCGGATCTACCTCTTGTCCTGTTTTCCGGCACAGGGATGTCTCCCTCGCGCTGTCGATCTTGGGGCAAACAGGGGTAAAGCCAGTGGGTGTGGGCCGTAAGGCGCCGTAAGGGTCAGCCAAATGACCATGCCTGCCTAGCCTATGGGCCCCTGAGCACTACCCCGACCCCCACCCAAGACGTGGGTTTAGTAAGTTTAGGCTTCGAACCTCAACTACCAACAAATCCTAAACAAACTCTACAGGTATATGCAGCCATCTGAGTATGAACGGATTTTGCTCAGAAGACTTTTGCTCAACGACTTTTCGAGGCTCAGATCCACTCAGCTTTGTCGCATCGCTCAGATCCACTCCAACGTCCGCACGCGCTGGGATGCGGGCGAGGCCGAGGCAGGCAGTGAGGAAAAGCCCACCCGATAAAGTTCGCCTGTTCGAAAGATGGGTCAACGTGGTGTGACAGCCCATGAAAAGGCGTGCCAACATGTTTGGAATATTCTTTGCCCTTTAACATGGCAAGCTGGTGGAGCATCTTTCAACTTAGGGACCACAACCACCGCCCCCGTTTTGTTTTTTTCAGGGTATCACAGGATGGTGTCATCGGTTTCAGTGGACGGAGGGTGGGTCTCTTGGGACGCTCAGCTCCCAACAGCCGCTCAATGTTGTTGATGTCAGACCTCAACGGCCGACGCAACAGCCCGGTTGGTCTACGGTTCGAGGCAACAGTGAACAGAATGTGCCAAAGACCACCCAAAAAAGCCCAGATAAGACTAGGTGACTAGCTCAGACGAGCGGCTGTGGATCCGTAATGGATGTCTCAGGTACAGTAGACGTCAGGGTTTTGTGCCACATGACATTGTGACATGGATTGGCCATGCAGATGGCAGATGCCCACGAAATAACACAGTTTGAAAATCCTTCACTGAAGTCACTTTTTGTCATGACACCTTTTCACGATCGCAGAGCGCTCTTGAGCTGGTTCAAAAGTCCGTCCTACCGACTTTGGTAGCGGAGCCCCGGCCGTCCGGGGCTCCTGCGTTCGCCATTGGCCGCCTGGCGCCTTCGGCGCCGCCCGGCGCGATCCCGGGCCCGCTGCGCTGCCCGCGCTGCTTCGCTCTCGTCGCCGCCACGACGACGATCCTTTTTTTGCTGTCTCACAAATTTGGCCATTTTGGTCCTGTGCATTTGTTCTTCGGCTCCGAGGGCACCTGTGAAAGCAGCCAATTTTGCGCCCGTGAAAGTTCCCGAGTACACGACCCTGGAGGTGATTGACCTGCACTCCATCTTCCTGAATCAGACGCTGACCATTGGCATCTCCCTGAATTTGCAGGACTACCCGATTCAGGACACCTTCACGTACCGGGACTTTGCCCGTGATCTGTTCACGATGGCCCAGCCGCTCCTTGGCATACCTTTGGCTGAGTTTCGTCGCGACGTACCACCTGGTTGGGCTCCGAACCTTCCAGACTACAGCTTGAAGTCTTATTTTGACAAACTTCGCCTCTGGTATAGGCTCTACCAAGGCCCTGACGAACAAGTAGGTCCTCTACTTGCGGGACGCCTTCAAGAAAGAGCCCAGAAGATTGCCATGGGTCTCAAACTGGTTCGCCCTGACGGAACCTACGATGTGGGAGACAGTGCTCTTGTTCGGCTGTCCACGGACGAGGTTCGAGACCCCATGGACCCGAATGTCATCTTGCAGCACGCAATCCCAAGTGGAGTTCAAGCTCTCGCGAACGCCCTCCGTGAGACCTTCGGTCAGTCTGACCAGGAGTTGGCCACCCACAGTTTGGAGCAATTCTTCCTCTTCAAACGAGGTAAGCTTTCGATGCACGAATATGCATCAGAATGGGAGCTTCGCTATGAGTCTGCTCAGCGCCACTCAGGCTTGGAGATCAACGACGTCGCCAAGAGCTTCCTATTTTTCCAAAGTTCTGGATTGCCGAACAAGTTCATTGAGGATGTCAAGATCCAGATCCAAGGCGACATGTCTCGTTTTGAGGAAGCCAAGCGCCTGACCTTGCGCCTGAGCAATCGGAGTGACCAGCATGCTCTGTCCCAGGACCTGTATACTGATCAGGCCTCTGAGTTCTTCTCCACTCCATCCTCGTCATGGAACACCATGGACTACGACACCTACTATGACGATTGGTCATGGCAAGATGACCCTTGGCAAGCCTATCCAGAAGATCCCTGGACTGGCTATGCAGAGGATGAATGGTGGCAAGAAGATGATTCCTGGTCGCCTACGGCATCAGAATGGCACACCCCTGAGGAGCATGTCATCCATGACGACCAGCATGAGACAGAGCAAGCTGCTGAAGCCCCTGAGACCTACTATGAGGACGAGGACTACTACCAGCAGAAGAGTGGCTGTCATGTCTGTGGCAGTCGATGGCACCTGGCCGCACAGTGTCCCGTCAGAGACAAAGGAAAAGGCGGTTATGGAGGAGGAAAATCCTCCTGGAGGCCAAAAGGCAAAGGCAAGGGCAAAGGAAAGAAGGGCAAGAGCAAAAGCAAGTCATTCAAGGGCAAAGGCAAGTTCAAAGGTGGCAACAAGGGCTACTTTAACGACATCGACTACAGTGCCCAACGAGGTCAACCTGAACAAGGACTTTCTCTGAGTCCTCCAGCTTCATCGTCTTTTACCACTGAGGTGAAGCCCATCCATATGACACCACCGAGGACTGGAGAGTTGCTTCCTTGGCAAGAGAAGAAAGTGACCTTTGCTGAAGATCAAGAAGATGAAGAAGCTCCAGCTCCATCTGAGCCAGTTCGCAAGCAACTTGCTTTTGCCACCCATCTTCATGCAAGCTCTGAGGTCTACCACATGGTGAAAGGCGTCAAACGCCGTGGCTTGCTGATTGACCCTGGTGCTGCCGCAGGTTTGGTTGGCAGCGAGACCCTTCGTGACCTCCTAGCCAGCTGCTACCAGGACAAGCAGAAGGCAGTGACATGGTCTGCATCAGATGCCACTATCACCGGCATCTCAGGTCAGCCAGACAAAGCTCTTGGACGAGTTCATCTGAAGCTGCCTTTCAAGAACATGGAAGCCACCTACACCGCCGATGTCATTGGCAAAGAAGGCAGCCGCTGTCCCGCTCTGGTTGGCAACCCTGCTCTATGTGCGATGTACGCCTCTCTGCACTCACGATGGTTCACAAACGATGATGGACTTCTGGTTGCCTGGGACACTTCCAAGAGCGAGCATCCGCAGATGAACCTCTTCCGAGTTCTTCTCACCGACAGTGGTCACTACCTGCTGCCTTTGGATGAAGATGCTGGCATCTGCGATCAGCAACCTGAAGCCTTTCACTTCATCAAGCATCTCTCTGACGTCTCCCATCGTGCATGGCCAGATCATGCATACACCTTCTGGCAGAACGTGACTGCCCAAGGACCGGAACGTCAGTGGAGCACTCATGGGACACAAGTTCGATCCCTTCAAGATGATCACCCGCTGACTAGTCTCATGAGTGAGCAGAACAAGAACCACGACATTGATACCTCATGTTCCGCGTCACCGATCAAAGACCACGACACATCAACATTACCTATCACATCATCCACCTCAGATATCACTTCCACTGGAGGAGTTGAGGCTGCAGACAATCTCTACCAATGTGATGACGCTCATAAGGAGCATAAGTGTGAATGTTGCCAGAGTCACAACACTCCAAGTTCCACGACACCTGAACAAGTTACATCATGTTCCACAACAGCCACCTCATGTTCCACAACACCTGGAGGAGTTGAGGATGCAGACAAGGACTCCCAAGAGAAGAAAGATAGTGTTGTGACATCTCAGTTGATGGCCACAAATCTGAGTGAGCTTCCACTGTACGTTGATGACTCTGTTCCACCTCACCTCTCACAAGAAGATCAGCAGAAGCTCAAGAAGGACTACAAGGCCATGCCAGAGGAATTCTACCGCCACTCCAATCGCAGAGTCGTGACGTCAGACACCTTTCCTGCATGGTTCAAGGAAGCCAAGCGACATGGAGTCAAGTGGCAGATTTGGGAGCTCTTCTCCGGCTCTGGAAGATTTTCTCTCCTGTGCACATTGGCTGGTTTGATGGCTGGTTTTCCTGTCGACTTCCGCTATGGCTGGGACATTGGCAATCCAGCACATCAAGACATGCTTTGGAGCGCCTACACCACCTTCGAGCCTGAAGTGATCTTTGGCTCTCCTCGCTGCAAGTTCTGGAGCATAGCCGCATCGAGACGAGATCGACATCAACTTCTACAAGATCGAGAGAAGGACAGATCGGCTTTAGTGTTCCTTCAACGCCTGTATGCTGAACAGGTGAAGAAGTCTCGAGGCTACCTCCTGGAACAGCCATTGTCTTCAGCTATGTGGGAAGAGAGTGTGATGGCAGAGAACAAGAAGTTCCCTGGCTGGCGAAAACATCGCCGCACAGATCAATGTGCATTCGGAGCAGTTGATGAGCTTCGGAAGCCAGTGTTGAAAGCCACCGGCATTGAGGCGAACTTCAAACTACGCCTCAGCCTTCGTCGATGCAATGGACACAATGGAATGCCCCATGCACCTCTACAAGGTCAACATCAAGGCAAGAATCGCACTGCTATGGCAGCTGTTTACCCGACTCGCTTCTGTAAGGCCCTCATCCAGGACATCATTCAATGGTTTCAGAAGCGCAACACTCTGCACATGCGCTTGGTCGACTCATGGACCTATCACCAAGTCCTCTACAAGTGCGAGCGCTGCAAGTGTGGCAGAGCTGCCACAGCTGATATGGAGCATTCCTTCATTCCGGGAGAATGTCGCCATGGTCGCATGTTCAAGGAACCTTCGGCAGCTCCTTCGGCCGCCTCAAGTCCCACAGCTGACTTTCAACGAGGCATTCGAGCACATGGAGGCATGAGTCAGGTTGAGATACAAGTTCCTGACTCTATGGAGTTCACCGCTGAAGACAAGCTCTACCTGAAAGGCCTGCTGTGTCAATTGGTGAACGACTCCATGACCATCTTCGACGAAGTCACCGACGGCAACTACTCCCGATGGATTGAAGATCCCATCCTGATGACGATTGTGCGCTCATGCCTTCGCAAGATTCTCTATGTCCACGGAGTGTACATCATCCTGCACCCTTTTGCCAAAGCATTTCCGGAACCAAAACTGCGAGCTGAACTTTGTCCACTGCGACTGATCTGTCGAGGCACCTACAAGTCCTGGACAGTTCATCCACTTGAAGATCTTCGTGAAATGTCACCAGCTCAGCAGAGAGAAGCCATTGAGGAGCCTGACTGGATGATTACTTTCTTTGGCGATGTTCGGGAACCCACTTCGACAAGAAGGTCATCTCCAGCCACACCTGCTCCAGTCACTCCAGCTCCTGGCACTCCAATGCCTGGTACACCAGCACCTTTGATGCCTGTACCTGCAACTCCGATACCACCTGCTGAAGAGACTTCTCAAGCTTTGGTTCCTGTGGATGATGCACCACTACAAGTAGCTCCATATGAAGGAATTTCGGCTGAAGCTGCCAATGCTCGAGCTATCAAGCCCCTCTATAGTGTACGACGAGTTCTGCAGAAGCTTCCTTCGATAGCTGCAAGCGATCCGACTCAGGCCAAACGACTCCTACTTGGACTACACGAGAAGATGTGGCATGCAACGGCTGCTGACTTCACTAGCCTACTTCAACGAGCAGGCATGCCGCAAGCCGTGTTGGATCTGATTGGAGAAGCTGTTGCTTCCTGTGCCGTGTGCCGCCGATACTCAAGGCTTCCAAGCAAGCCAAAGAGCAAGGCTACTCTGGCAGCTCAGTTTAATGATGAAGTTGAGATGGACATCTACTTCCTTTGGGGCAAGGCTTTTGTTCTTTTGATCGACGTGGCCACGCGCTACAAGGTAGCTTTTGAGACCCCAACTCGATCTCTTGATGATCTTCTTCGAGGCATGCTTACTCACTGGATCAGGTACTTTGGACCAATGCGCGTGCTCACCTCAGATCAAGAGACGTCGTTGATGGGTCCTGCTGCCGCCATTGAGTTTGAACGTCTGGCCATTTGTCGTAATCCCAAAGGCACCACTCAAGGAGAAGCTGCCAAGCAACACACTGGCACAGGTCTAGCAGAACGACACATTGGTTTGACCAAGCTCACCATGGAGAAGGTCAAGGCAGAGCTCGATAGACAAGGACTCACCATGGAAGATGCGGACATTGCTGCTGAGTCCGCAATGTGTCAGAACCTCCTCATGACCTACGGTGGATATACGCCCTGCATGGCAGTGTTTGGAGTTCTTCCTCGCTCATTCTATGAGTTTGAGTCCACCACTTTGACTGCTGTTGATGGAGCTCGAGAACGTGATCCCTACATCTTCGAGTCTGCAATGAGATTGCGTCAAGTTTCTCTGGCTGCAGTTCAGCAGGCCATCGCCGAAGATAGAGTTGCACGAGCCTCTCACAGCCGACCTCAGAAGGTGGACACCTCCGAGCTGACTCCTGGCACATCCATGGTGGAAATTCACCGAGGAGAAAGTTGGCGAGGCCCTGCAGTGCTGTTGGAAGTCAATGAAAATGAAGGCACCGCAATCGTTCGACATCAAGGAAAGCCATATCTGCTTCCTTTGAGATTCGTCCGCCCTTTTCGTGGTGTGTTCTTCAACATGGACACCACAGCTGGCACTGCCTTGCATCAGATGATGGCCATGATTGAAGCAGCTCAGCCCTATAAGCAGCACTTCCTCGGCTACAAGCTGATCCTGCGCCACGACGGAGCACATTGGAAGAACATTCCTTCGACTCCTACGGAAGCACAACAGAAGATTCTGTCAGCATTTGGACAATGGGAAGAATGGGCTCAGCACCCCGTCCACGGAGTTCTATATGGACAAGCATGCCATACACTTCATCCACTACCACACACTCGTGGAACCATCTTGACATGGTTGAAGGGCACCTCTGACTACATCAAGATCCACAAGGAGGATGACAACTCAATGAAGCTCAAGGATGAGTATGGCCAGCGCTGGGAATCTCTTTGCGTCATGTACATCTTCTACTACCCGACCAGCACTGAGATGGCGCCTGCAGAAGCACCTCATGGAGACGAAGTGCAATCAGCTCCTGCTCAAGCACCACCTCATGCTCCACAAGCTCCCGTGGAGACAGAGAGGGACATCGACTGTGAACTGCGCATGAAGCGTGGCTCAGCTACCACTGATCCTCCGCTACCAGATCCTGATCCCAAGAAGGCCAAGTTCGATGTCGCACACAACATCACCACGGAGCTGCAGAACCTCCACACTCTGCAGTGGATGATCGACCGCAAGAGATTCTTCCGCCTGCATAATGAGGCTTTCTGGTCAGAGACCTACTATGTGCCCCGATGGTTCAACAAGATCACCAGAGAGATGGTCACACAGAAGAGCCAAATGCTCCACGAAAAGGCCAAGGAGAGAGGTACCTACTTGGTCCACCTGGCCAGTTCGAAGAAGCGCCATTTTTACCTTGACTTGTCCAATGGTGGCCGCTACATGTCTGTCACCGCAGAGGACACGATCTCAGAGACCGATCTGGCAGAGATTTGGCCATTGGTCGAAGAGGCTGATGGAAAGGAGATGGCGCAATTCGTGGAGGAGAAAGCCTTCGCCAAGATCAAGCTTTCTGACGTTGCTGATGGCACCGTGATCATCGATGGCACCTGGGTCAGACGATGGAAGATGAAGCTTGGCAAGCGAATTGTGAAGTCTCGAATGTGCGCCAGAGGTTGTTTCGACCCTCAAAAGGAACACTTGAGCACGAGGAGTACTACGGCATCTCGCTTGAGTCGACGGATTTTGATGAGCACCGCAGCTTTGATGCAAGTGGATCCTGAGTCATGGGATGTTTCTGGTGCTTTCCTCAAGGGACTCTCCTTTGACAAGATCCGCGAGATCCTGCTTTCCCAAGGCATCAAGACACCCACACGATCCGTGGTGTTGATCCCGCCTTACAATTGTTGGCGACGCCTGGCTGCTGCTGATTCTCAGTTCCACCTGGAACCTGATGAGATTCCACTTTATGGACTACAATGCCTCAAGCCCGTGTACGGCCTGAACGACGCACCAGTGGCCTGGCAATTGAGTTTGGGAGTGTTTCTGAAAGAGCAGCACGGTCAAGCTTCTTTGTTGGACGACAGCTTCTACTTCTGGAAGGATCCCAAGAAGAGTCCAACACTACGTGCAGCTCTCACCACTCACGTTGATGACCTTGCAGTCGTTGGTGGTGGCAACTTCATGGACGACCTCTACAAGACAATGTGCAAGAAGTTTGGCAAGATCTCCAAGGAAAAGTTGCCATTTCCTCACTGCGGCTGTCTGTACTCCAAGACTAAGGACGGCTACAAGATCGATCAGACTGAATTCGCCACGAAGCTAAAGCCATCCACGAACCCTCCTGGAGATGATGAGAGAACACTGACCGCATCTGAAGTCACCGACTTGCGCTCAGTTGTTGGAGGTTTGCTCTGGCTGTGTTCAACACGATTGGACCTGGTGGCCGACGTGGGAGTACTACAATCAGCAGTATCTGCTCCTAAGGTGAAGCATCTACGAGCTGCAAATCTTCTGGTCAAGAAGGCAAGCAGTCCCGACCGTGTCCAAGTGGGCCTGCACTTTCGCTACTTCCATGGAGCATCCAGCTTCCGCCTTCAGTGCATACATGATGCATCCTCTCCAAGCAAAGGACGCTCCTATGCTCAAGAGGGAGTCATGGTCCTGCTCATGCCCGAATTGCCTCAGCACATCCTCAACCAGGACGAGATCACTTGTGATGATGCAACTACATCACAGCTGAACGGCTATGGGCACCTCCTTTTCGCTCATGGAGGAAAAGCTAAGAGAGTGTCATACTCAACCTCACATGCCGAGACATTGTCGGCAGTGAACGGCTTGGAAGCGAGCAGCATGGTCAGTACTCGACTGACTGAACTTTGGATGGACAAAGCCAAGCCGACCTTGAAGGACCTCACTCAGCACCAAGAAGAAGGCTCACGTTTGTTTCCAGTGGACTCCGCCACAGACTGCAGAGACTTCTATGAGCTGAGCACCGGATCTCGTGCTGTGCCTCAGGACAAGTTGCAGAGGCTCTATATCGCCGCCATCAAGGAGGCACGAGTCACTGGTCGCCTTCGCTACTTCATGCTCATTCCAACTCAGAGCATGCTGGCTGATGCATTGACCAAGCCAATGATAGCACCACAGATGATGGAGTTTTTGAGCTCAGGACACCTCTTCATGAAGAACGAGCCCAAGCATGTAGTGTTGCTTCGCCGCCTTCCTACACTTGAAGACCTTCGAGAAGAAGATTTGTGGAAGAGCGATGACCAGATTGCAAAAGAAGTACATCAAGGATCCAAAATGGCAAAATTGGCCTGTCTGACAAGCTTCAAACTGAAGCCATGGATTGCCACCCTGGCAATGACATCATTGATGATGACCACCGTGTCTGCACAAGGCCAAAATGAACCACCGAGGCCAAATGAAAGCGCCAACGACTGGACCTTCCTGATCATGATCTTCGTCACCTACATGGCCCTTCGTTTTGGCGAGTTCCTTGTGACGTCAGGCATTCAAAGCCTTCTGCCTCGAAAGGAAATTGCCAGTCAACCATCTACTCCGCCGAACTGTCCAGCTGGAACACCAAGGACCCTGAATTTAGATGGATCTTCATCGACTTCTTCTACGGCACGACCAAAGCCGAGCTCTATTCCTGCGCCTTCCGCTGCTGTTCCAAAGATGCCTGCACCTAGCAGCCCAATCATCGACTGGTCTGCATCTGGCACGACCGTGTTCAAGCAGCCGCCGCCTGCGCCGCCGACTGAGAGCGCATCTAGCTCTGGCCCTGGCTATGAGCGTGTGTATTTCACCGCTACTGGTGAATGCTTTCATGTGAATCCGCAATGCGGACACCTGCGACATCATAACGTGATGTCAAAGCGGTACTGCAAGGACTGCTCCAGGATCCGAAACGCCAGTGGAGTTTGAAAATCCTTCACTGAAGTCACTTTTTGTCATGACACCTTTTCACGATCGCAGAGCGCTCTTGAGCTGGTTCAAAAGTCCGTCCTACCGACTAACACTCTTCAACAGCATAGGTATAGTCAATACTGTACGTTTCCCTTTGCGTGAAGCGCTGTTCCCACCATTTACAACTGCTTTATTACTGTGCGCAAAAACAATACTGTATCAGACATTGCCATGTGATTGTTTTGTTGGTGGTATTGTAGTATACAATCATGCATTATGTATTATCTCTACTATGCTCACAGAACAATGTGAAACCACCCTGGAAAAGCACAGACAACACGGGCCTTTCATCTTGCCAATCTGTGGTGTGAAGCAATTGTGTGGTGCATTTGAGTCTTTTTGGTGGACGCTGGCAGGTGATCTCCGCCATGCGCCACTTCGCCGAGCTGGCAGTCAAGGAGCGAAGAATCACTGCCGACTGGAGGTTTCTTCAGAACCAATGTGACCCTTTGGGGTGAGAAGAACCAGAAAAGAACATGCGAAAACACATGTGTTCGTTGTGTGTGGGTTTCTGGATGGGGTGACATGTGTTTTTCTTGCCGAGATGGTTTTTTTTGCGGAGCCTGAAAGCGTGGAGGTCATCAGCGTGAATATGGCAATCAGAGGCTAGATATATCTAGAATATGGAGGCACCATCTGCTGTCCAGGGGCGTAACGAACATGATGTGGCTATTCTTTTCGGGCATCGGCACGGCTGGATACACTTTGACCAGCTTGATGCTTTTGGCACGCAAGAAGTTCAAGTTGCGGGCCGAAGAGATAAAGAGGAACTTGTTTGTCCTTGCACAAGGGCCGTTGTCTTGGATCTATCTTCCGTTCGTTGCTTCCCCCCCCTCCTTCGAATCACAGGGAGAAAGCTGCCGGATGACTCTCCCGGCCGCTTCCGTGAGGCCAAGGCCGCCATTGAGAACCGGGACCAGAAGGCCTTGGCGGAGCTCATGGATCAAAACTTCAACCTTCGAAGGCGTGACCGACGCAGACCGGCGAGTGCCAGACCGGGAGTGTCCCCCCTCGTCCCCGTCTGCCCGGTGAGATGGAATCCAGAAGTCCATGCAGTTGTGTGGCGAACATTGGGACGGCGAACATTGGGACGGCGAAAAGGAGACTCTTTTTCTAGGGTCGATACCTTTGGGCGTCACTTCCAGTGTCCTGGGTGGGTTTCTGCGAGTTCATCCGAGTCGTGGGTATGGCGTTGTTCTTTTTTGAGATGGGACGGATGCGCGATGCACAGCTCACCAACCTGCCAATCCGCAGGTTTGGTGTGGATTTTTGAGGGTGACATCCAAGACTCACCCAGATATTCAGCACCCCCAGACCAGCAGCCTCCCTTTTTTTTCTTCCGTGTTTCCGTGCGTGCTCCAGTGCGGTGCTTCCCCCCGAACGATCGCCGCCGATCGCTGGGGGTCCGGAAGTGAACCCGGACGTTCGGATGTCGCGGAGCCCGGTGGGTCCACTGGGTAGGTTAACCTCCCTGGTAGTCTGGTAGTCCATTCTGTTCATGATGTGTGATCAACTAAGGTCCCCCCGTTTTGACCCACCAACTGATCAACACAGCTCGATTGGCACAGGAAGCTCTACGGTGATGCTTGCCTTGGCAGCAAAAACCTGGAGATGATCGAGATTTGCCGGCGCCGGACTCAAAGATTCGGGCCGGTCAAAACGAAAAGGGCTTTCGAAAAACTTAGCACCAAGGTCCTGAGGACCTTCCAACCTTCCAATAGGCTGTTTTGAGCCGGAAACACTCGGAAACACCTGTTGGAAGGTCCAGGTTACCAGGTAGAGGTCCGGCCTGGTCCGTGGTCCTGGTGCAGAAGCTGCTCGCTTCGGGCGACCAAACATCGGAGAGCCACCGGGTCGTCCAGTCTGAGCTACCGGGTCGTCCAGTAGCGCCAGCCATCCACAATGACGGAGGACATCCAATGGCCACGAGGTGCAAATGGATCTAGTTTTGGCCACGAGTGGCCCAAACTACTGGTGAAAGGGGGAAGATATCTATGATGGACATAGGCTGGACCACACAAGCCATTGCTTGAAGGGGGCTTCCATGCAATTCCGATTTCACCACCCTATTCTCCACACCTTCGACAAAACCAAGGCGCTGTAACTGTGCAGTGAAGTTCCCCGGTAGCGGCGGCGCGGTGCTGGGGCTCTGCCGCAGTGAGGACCGGGTGCCGGGTCGTTCACTCCCCGGCAAAACGAGCCTTTTGGCCGCGGGAGCAGGGCGGAGAAGCTGCCTCAAAGCGTGAGGAGACAACTCCAGGATCCGTTTTTGGATCCGCTTCATTATCCACGGCCCAATTGAAGGATCCTTTTCGGCCTTTTTGTTCATTCGACTCCGGGTCATTCCACCGCGACCAGTGCTACATGTGATCGCTCGGCCAGTGTGCCTGGATTGCTCGTGCCCCGGCACTTTCTTCCGATGTCTTTGTGAGGAAAGGCTTTAAGTGGTTTGAGCCGGTTTTGGAGATGGAGAGTCCCGCTGGAGATGGGTTCCAACTCGAAGGATACTTGTCATCTCACTCTCTCATGAGCAGGCCCGATGGTATACCAAGTTAGACGGCACGCTTCACATCGCTTGGCCCCGATGGTGCATTTCGCGACATGGTCTGGTGGTCACGGCGCTTGACCTTTCGTGGTGCACCTGTCAGCTATTGATCATGTGGTCATATTATCAACCGGAGTTTGTATGAGTTCTTGGACACAACTATGTTACATACACAAAACCCGTGGTTTTGCGGATGAAGGCTCCAACTTGACTTCTTCCCGCAGGAAGAGCACGTTTGCCCCGAAGGACCCCCCCCCCCCGAAGGACCCGGGTCGGACGGGTCGAAACAGGACGGATCTGATCCATGGCATCCGATTCAGGAGGCCCCGGTACCCTCGGCGACGGCCGTTGGACCCGTTGGACGTTTCGATGTCGTGTTGGGGAGACGGTCTCTCTGAGCTCGGGGTAGCACTTGGAGAGAAACCGAGATGGGTAGACGGTTGTACATAGAGGATATAGAAGGATACACAACGATTTTCATGCCGTGCTGCAATGACTTGAGAAAAAAGGGGTTCGAAGTCCTGAGAAGCTGAAGACATTTTGTCGCGTCAACATCTCGAACCACCCAGGTTCAAACAAGGCCGTTTGCCCGCGGATGAGAGAATGCAAGCCAAACCCCCACATTGATTGTTTGCTCACACGTTTATTTTTTTCAGCCAAGGTAGGCCATGTTGCCAACAGGTTCAGAAAACTCATGGAAACAAGCTCTGCAGTGCGGTTGACCTGTGCCATGTCTTGGTGTCAACATCGTCAGCAATTTGGAGTTATACAATCTTATATATAAATCATAGTGGATTCACTGGATCCCACTGGTGCAGGTGGGTCTAGATCCAGAATGATCCAGATATACTGTGCCAGTGCTCGTTTTTGTGTGGCCGGTAGTGATGTGACACGGACCCCGTGAGGTGCTCTTCAGACGGTGATCTTTCATTCGTCCCCCGGTGTCGAACGGTTGTTCGTCCGTGACCAGGACATCACTTACGGACGGACCTCGGAACCAGCGAACGCCCAAGAGAAAGCCCTCCGCGTCGGGGGTTTGGAACCGGGCGCGCACCGGTGGATCCGCGATGAAGTCAGTGAACTGGGGTTTAGATGATCTCCGATTTTGGCGACTTCCTACAGACCACCCTGGGCAATCTTCGCCAGAGCAAACCGCTTCCTTTTTTCTCTAACTGGGTTTTCATGCAGAGGAACCTGGAACACTATTCAGTTGCAGCTTCTTCCGCACCTTGAACTTGTGCGGAGGCACTGGAGGCTGAGAACTTTGTCTTTTGCCCGTTGGACCTGGTGATGCCCGACTGAGCAAAGAAGCACTGGGCACCGACTCGGAGTTGGTCAAACATGTCTAGGATCCTGGTACTTGGAGAGAGACAGCACCACTGCGGAGTGAAAAACATTGAGGCTTCGGTAGGAAGCACAGATTCCTTCATATGATGACTTTGACCACTTTGGACCTACATCACAGCTTCTGCCCGCTGTGATTCTTCTTGGGTGAAGCTGGTTCATTACGTGTACTCTACACAATCCTATATATATACACATACATATACACATGACATAGTATTTGACACATGTAACATATTACTGATATGAATCCTGAATCATATTAAACATATTGTATGTCTTTTGTCTTGGGAGTCTCAATGCAGCTCTGCTGTCCAAGCGGTCAATGCAGCGCAGAAATTGCGACAAGGCCGCAGGCTCCGCAGGCTCCGCAGGCCTGCCGCGCACTGTCGCTGGCATGGATCGTGGCCCAGAGAAAGGAAATTCCAAAGAGCCGTTGTCAGCAGACATGGAAGTTGTCCAGAGATCTCATCTAGACTCGAGAGTATATATAGCGCCGCGAGGAGTAGGAGTAGGAGTAGGAGTAGGAGGAGTAGTAGGAGTAGTAAAGTAGGAGTAGGCGTAGGAGTAGTAGGAGTAGGAATGGTAGGAGTAGGAGGAGTAGGAGTAGGAGGAGTAGGAGTAGGAGGAGTAGGAGGAGGTGAGTAGTAGTAGTAGTAGCAGCAGTAGTAGTAGTAGCAGCAGTAGTAGTAGTCGTAGTCGCAGTCGTAGTAGTAGTAGTAGTAGTAGTAGCAGTAGGAGGAGGAGGAGGAGGAGTAGGAGTAGGAGTAGGAGCAGCAGCAGCAGCAGCAGCACCAGCAGCAGCAGCAGCAGCAGCAGGAGTAGTAGTAGTAGTAGTAGTAGTAGCAGTAGCAGTCGTAGTCCTAGTCCTAGTCCTAGTCCTAGTAGTAGTAGGAGGAGGAGGAGTAGGAGTGGGAGGAGTAGTAGTAGTAGTAGTAGTAGGAGGAGGAGGAGGAGGAGTAGTGGTAGCGGTAGCTGTCAGCGAAACACCTCAATGACATCATGAGAATAACATGATTGACAAACCACACCGGCAACAACTAGTGACACCACCAAACGAATCGATCCCCAGAAGATTAGGTTGGGTTGGAGTGGTCGCAGTCAACAGATGTGCAGGTGTCTTTGAAGTATTTTTATTCAAGGCGCAGTTTGGGTTCTTGTTAGTGAGTGGCGTGGAAGTTAATTGCAGGGTTTCTTGCGGATACATGTTTGGGATACACATCACAGGCCCATGCTATGCAAATGTATTTGTGCGGTGCATTTTGCGACGTGCATCTCGATGCATGCCGCCAGGCACACAAGCTGCACCAACTCAAGTCATATTGTGCCATGCATATGCAATGCACATCCCCATTACACATTCGATAGGGCACATAGAGCAAAGGTATAGAAAGAAGTGAAGTCATGTGATGGGAAATTGTCAAACTCACGCGACGACGTGAGCATGTCATGCCCATGTCACGTGACACGTACAATCTTTGTGTCTTGGCCGGGCGGCCTACCGGAAGAAGCTGGGATCGGCCTCCAACTGGAGCACTGGAGCGCTGTAGCGCTGTGAAGTTCTATTTTTTCATCGAAGCCATGAAGCTTTACCACATGCACAGGTGATTCTGGCCTGCGAAGTGCCTTGTGAGTGAGTTGGTGTGAGTAAGTTGATGTGTGTAAGTTGGTGTGAGTGCGTTTCTGCACAGGGTTTTGGCACCAGTGGAGCGGTACGCCGCCCCTGCGGTGAAGTGGTGGGCCATCCCTGGCCGAGGTACATTCGCATGGCAGGCGACCACCTTGTTCACGGCGTAGCACGTATCAATGATAGCAGCGACCCCATGCGGATTTGTGTCTATTTATGCTTTCGGACCATCCATCGTGTAGATAGTAGATACGGTACTGTAGAAACTTCCACCATGGTGACTCCCCTGTCGGTTTTCGGAAGGGTTCGCAAGCAGCGGGGCTTGCGTGTGAATTGGAAGGTGTAACGGTTTGGGTGGTAGGCATAGGCATGCAATGCAATCGGCATGTCTCAGATCAGAAGGGATCCCGACCCACCTAAGTGGAATGTGGGAAAAACCCAGGTGGCAGGGCAGCATTTTCTTCCATTTTTGCCGTCCTCTTGGTGCTATGGAGGTTCAATACTCCTTGATAGATTAGAGGGCTTTTGATAAACTGAATCTGATGTTTGCATACAGACTATGACCTCAAACTTGGCAGATTGAACATCAACAAAAGCTGAAAAGCAATAGGCCAAGGCCTGAGGGGTACTTCCAGTGATGGCCAGCCACAGCCGTGTCGGGCCCATCAACTGCATCGCTCGAGCATGGAGCAGAAACACTGAAACCAGTGCAACTGGGATTAGACAGGGTCCCAGGTGGCTTCCATCAGCAAGTCCCAGTAGAGGGCGACATCAGGCACCCCAATTATTTCCAGTTTAACAGTCACAGTTGAGAATTGATTTGTTCGACTTTGTGTATGTTTGCCTCGCGTCTCGTGTGTTCCTCTGTTGTACAAGAGCCTGGCTCAAACGGTTCCATGAAAAGCCGTGACCCATGCAACAGGCGAACAGACGCTGTGAACATTGATCTTGGGCACCACCGCGACCTGCAGCATGCAGCTCATTTTGGCATGGATGAACCTTCTTCCTCGAGCGCCAACATGCAGCACAACTAGGTTTTGACAGAACCTTGACTCGTTGACCCAACATACTTGACCATCCCAGAGACACGAGGGACGCGCACGGACGGGAACCTCTTCTTTTCGCCGCCCCACGTCCCGCAGCGAGACAGATCTTGAAGCGATGAAGCGATGCTTGGTGTTGTGGAGGCCATGAGAGTGAGACGGTCGTGTTGAGATGAAGGTCCTTTGGCGCCCCTTTGGGCGCCGAAAGACAGAAGATGGCTTAATGATGCTTAATCAAACTTCCAAGACCCTGAGCTTGGTGGCTTGCGCCATGCTTTGGCTTCGCCATCCCTCCCAGCTGACCTGGCAGAGTTCGGGAATCACCGGTGTCCAAAGCTGGTGGGGCAAGTTTGAAGTCGCCAAGCAAGGTATCATGTAAAGAAGGGAAAATCAGCCATCAAAAAAGCCCATCTAGCAGATCTAGCGGCTTTAGGATAAAAGGATAGAAAAGGATCGAATAGGACAGAGCTGGTGGATCTAGCCCAGCCTAGCACAGCATGTTCCGAATCCAAGTGCAGGTTCTTGGTGGCTGCCTTGGACCTCGAACGCGCGGGGCTCCAGTCTGCGATTTTGGGGGCCAAAGGGTCTGGAGTCTCTTTGCCGAGCAAAGGCCGATCGGATGGGCCATAATCCGATCCGACAGTCCTGTCTCTTTGGTATCTTTTCTCCAAAACGACCCACTTCGACGAGTCAAAAGGACCCTTTGAATCACTTCGACCCTGCCAGGGTGACTCTCCAAACATCGACGAGTCGAAAACGTGGGGCCCATTCCGAATTGGAGTTCTCGTGGGTTCGTGGAACTCGCCGCTGGAATCACCAGAGTTCAGTTCCTTTGAAACGAAACCGAGGGAGCAGCTTTCCAAGCAAAAGCCCGAGGCTGATTTTGGCCGGTTCCTGGTTCTGGCGGTATAGTTTGGATGTTTGAGTCTTCATGGGGTGCGTGACGGTTCGCGAATCCTTATATAGATATTATGATATATGTGACATATAATATGTATTTATATATACTATATGATTATTTGGGTTTTGGCTTTTCTAGGATTTAATTGAACACTGCTTAGATGGACATTTTGGCTCAGTCGGCTCGCCCACAAGCCGACCACGACCGTCCACGACTGGCATCCAGGAAGGTCTGGCGCCATGGGGGCTCACTCACACCCACCAAATCCCAGTGGTCAGCAGTCCTGCTCTCGAAAACCCCTCACTTGGCCTGTCCAACAACGCTTCTTTTGTTGAACGCCGCGTGACGGCCAAGCCGCACAGATCTGCGATGTCGCTGACCGCGTCTCTCCGGTGACGCGCCGTAGGCGAACTGTCCAAAGATGACGAGTGCCATGAGTCCACCTGCGGCCTGGAGGTGGGGGCGACCGACACGTCCGGCGTGGTCGGATCGATGCTGATCCAGGCCCTACAACGTCGAGGGCTCAGACGAGGCGGACGGGGCTCGTGGAGTTTTCACCTCTCATGGTGCTCGTGGATGATGTGTGGATGTAACGTGATTTCGCATGGGATCTGAGTGATTTTTGAGGGGGTTCCACGTTATGAGACATATGTATAGTTATATATATATAGAGAGAGACTCTATGCAAAGCTGCAAGACTTTACTGGCCCCCTCGCTAACCTGGACAAATCGCTGCAGGGTTTTACACAAGTTGCACACGTCACCAGAGTTCACTGTAACTCACCACAGATCCCCATAATCGCACAAGATTTGACTTAGCACAGCGAGTTAAGTCTACCTACTGACCTACCGACACACCGCCAACGCGGAGTATTCACTCGGTTTCGCTTGCTATCCTTCCTGATGCACAGGTCATTCTTTAAAAGATGACACATTGCTTCTGTCCAGATACACTACCTTCTCTGACTAAATACTATATACATATGTATGCACCTCTATATACAGTACCATCGAAGCAGTGCAAGTAGAAGAGGTAGTAGAACAGCAGAGTAGTAAGTAGACAGTGGCAGTGGATAGTGGTGTTCTACGTTACGCTATGTTATGTTATGTTATGTTATGCTATTATGGTATGGTTGTCATGGTATGGTGTAGTATTGTATTTATGTATGTTTGTTTGTCTCTCTGTTTTACATCCAGTAGCAAGCTACTTCTGTTCAATGCATCCATCATGTTGGACTTTTTGTAAAACAAAGCATGCTGACCAATAGCTGCAGTTATAGATGACACCATGCTCTACATTTGTACCATGTTCCACAGGTTTAGCTGGAATCAATGCATTCGTTGTTTTTCAGTGCCGAGCACTTGATCGATCTTCGCCGGTGACGTCGTTGGTGAACGCTTGCAGATCGAGTCGCTGGTGAACCGGAACGTGCAGGCCGAGATCGCGAGGTCGCGAGGTCGTGAGGTCGGGGCGGTGAGCATTGACACGGCCTTGCGAGTTGGCAGTGTCCAAGCAAAGAGAGCGTGTTGTTCTTGGATTTCGAAAACACTCGAAGGGACACCGTCAGGCGCGAGGGTCGTCACGTCACACAATGCTTGGCAGCACCTGCCATGCGGGCTACCATGGTCGCCTGATGTATTCATTCGTGGACTTAGGCCTCTAGAGGATTCCAGAGGAGGGTCCTCCGATCAAAGTCCCTGCTTTTTCTAACAGTGATATGTTTGTCTCTTTGCTGAATACCCTTCCAGGGAATCTTCCGTTTTGTGCTTTTCCAGGTTCGACCAGCAATCCAGGAAACTGTTGAATGCTAAGCTGCTAGAGCCCCACATACATCTTCATCCAGTCTCAAACATACATTTTTCAATATCAAAGTCTATGGCCTGATTTGGGGATGGTGTTTTTTTGCGACGTATTTCCAGACAGTTGCATTCATCGGTGTTTGTCCAACCTGTGGCCGGTGTTTTTTGCGACGGTAAGCTGTCCACCAGTGTTTTTTGCGTCAGTTGTTTGGTGTTTTTTGCGACGGTAACTGGTTATGGTGTTTCTTGCGACAGTAGTAGTAGTAGTCGTCGTAGTAGTAGTAGTAGTCGTCGTAGTAGTAGTAAGTAGTAAGTAGTAAGTAGTAAGTAGTAAATAGTAAGTAGTATATAGGTAGTAAGTAGTAAGTAGTAAGTAGTAGGTAGTAGGTAGTAGGTAGTAGGTAGTAGGTAGTAGGTAGT